GCTTCCAAGGCAGGTGGACCACATCCTGGGCAGCTTCCATGGCCTAAGCCCAAGCCTAGCTTCTCCTCAGCCAATGCTGGTCACCCTCACCTTGCGTTCTGTGCTTGGCCTGGGGGGTACCCCCCCACACACCCTGGCTCCCTAACTGGCTTTCACGCACCCTGCAGGACCCATCTCTGGGCCCCAGTGGCCTGAACACCCATGGCACCCCAGCCCTTGCACCAGGACCACGGACATCTCTGTGTACCTGGGCTCGCCTCCCTTTCCCCGAAGACCAAGGCTCCCAGGAGACAGAGCCCTGCCTTGCTCTCCTATCCAGCACCCTGGGGCCTGGCACAGGGCGGCCTCAGCCTGGAGTGTCCCAGACATCCTTGGGGCGCCAGGGTGGGAGGCCTTGATTTGGTCAGGATGGTAATAATAGAGACTCATCTACTATTCCCAGACTGGGTTGTGGGTGGGCACCAGACCCAAGCCCCCCATCTTTTGGGGCTTCAAACCACTTTGAAGCTCTTGGGCAGATGCTCTTTTGCATTCTGGGGTGCATGGTATTGCAAACAGGCATTGCACATCCACTTTACTGAGGAGAAAACTGAGGTTTGAGAGAGAACAGGTGACAGATAACGGGTCTCAGGCCCTGGCATGATGGTAGCAGAGGCCTGATCGGGCCATTCTAGTGGGTACCAGACTGGATGCCAGCTCCCACTTTCACCAGCACCAGCCTGACCGGACAGTGTAGACACTGCCACTGCCCACTAATGGGAGTGGTAATCGCCACAGTATGTGGGTGCCTCCTGGCTGCCCAAAGCAGCTGTCCTCGCACCCAACTATGAGGCAGGGATTGTCTTGGTGCCTCAGTTTATAGACCAGGAGTCAGACTGGTGTCCCCAGGCCCTGCATACCTGGGAGGGAAAGCTCCAGGCAGGGGATGGACTGGCCCCCTCGCTCTCGATGCAGGCGTAGACTTCGGTCTCCCGGCGTTGCAGGGCCTGCAGGAGACAGGATGGCCAGGCCAGGGCAGGTCATAAAGGGTCTGTCAGCCTCCCTTCCTGTCCCATCCCTGCCTGGTACCCACAACCACTGCTGCCCACCACCCTCTCTCCTGGTTCCAAGCTCTGCCCCCGGGAGGGGGGCCTTGTCTGACCACACACAACCTCTAGGGCCCTCCCCACCAGATGTCCTGGGCTCACAAGAGACCTAGGCACCTGTTGGAGACATCTCCTACCCCTCAAGCCCATGCCCTGCCAGGGAGCTCTGCAGTGCAGCCCTGACTCTCAGGGTACCCCCTCCCCACCATGTCTGACGTTTCCCTCCCGGGGTGCTGGTCATCCCCGGATGCTCCTCCTTGGGAATTCTAGTGTGCACAGCCACACATGACCCTGGCGTCCTGCCATGGTGAACGGCAAGCTCTGCCTGGGCTGGGGGCCGTTACTTTGCCAACCCCTAGCCTCCCCCTGGACTGGAAACCTCCTGAGGGCAGGGCCTGTGCCTTGTTAGTGTCTGGGTCTCCAAGTCAACAGCTGGTCCTGGCACAGTGAGGGGACACCAGATGGGCCATGAAGAGGAGACACCTCCCTCTCTTGTGTGTGTCCTGGGGCCACACTGGAGAGGGGAATGGGAATGATCATGTGTATTTTGCACGCTTAATGGAGGATTAAATGAGATACCAAACATAAAAGGCTTTGTACAGAGCTAGGCAAACAGTAGGTGCTTAATAAGCAGCTTCTGATGATCATCAGTGAAGACAAAATGCTGCACCCTTCTCCTGCAACTTCACCGTGGACTCACCCTCCAACCCCACTAGGGTCCAGAGTAAAACCAAGCAACAGCCTAAGCAAGAGGCAGAAGCCTTTCCTTCCCATGTATGTGTCATATAGATGCCGGCTCGTTGCCAAGGAGGCGGTTTCCCTGGCAACAGTCAAGCAGGGGTTGCCAAGGCAGGCTGGAGAGACAGGTGGTGCTCAGAGGCAAGAGGAGGGTGGGGAGCAGGAGGGGAGGAGGGAAGGAGGCACTGTGAGGCAGCCGGGCATGAAAATCCATGTAATAAACCATTTGGCACTTGGGAGACCCTCACTTCAAGGGCATCAGACACGGGGTGGTGGGGCTTCTCTGGGGTCCTGAGCCAGCAAGAGGTGGGTGTTGGCAGAAAGCTTCCAACCGCTCCCCTCCCCGAGGAGGAGCTGCATTTCCAGGGGAAGGAAACTTGTGAGCTTTTCTCCACCCGTGCAGGTCTCTTTGCCCGCCCAGAGCGCTAGCTGTCCTGGCGCAGGGACAAGCAGGCTGTGTCCCTCGGCCACTCTGTCTGCTCACCCCCATCCACCCAGGCCTGGACCCCTCTGCAACCTCGCAGATCTCACAGCAGCGCCAAGCTGGGTGTTTGCGGTCACAGAGGGGAGCCAGCGTGAGCCCCCTTCCCTCACCTCAGCAGGAAGGCTGATCTGGGGCCCCACGGTAGCTCCCCCAACAGCCCCACACCCAGAGCACCGGGGCTAACAGAGCCAGACAGGGCCAGACACAGGGAGAGAGGGTGCTTGCACAGTGACTGGGCCAGCGCAGCTGCAGGGCTGAGGACAGCACAGGCCACATCAACGACGGCCACCCTTAGCAGCTGCGGTGCGAAGCCTTTGACAAGTCCTGACCTGCAGGCTGCATTTGCATTCAGGGTGTGACCCACAGAGGCAGGACTCTCCCAGCCTTCCCTGGCTGTGCCACTGAGGGGATTGCTGGCTTCTCCGGGTTGCCGTGGCCGGGCTGGCTGGGCTGGGCCAGCACACCCCAGGACTGTGCCGCTCCCCACCAGGCTGCCCTGGGCTGTGCTGGCTTTCTGGAAGACAGTGGGGTTGGAGACCCATGTCCGGTGAGCACTCTTGGCAGCTGCTGGCCCGTGCGTAATGGTGCTGGCCCAAGTGGTCATCAGCCTGGCATCAGAGTAAAGGCAGTGCCCAGGCCATCATCCAGGGCCATGCAAAGTCACTGCCTGGTCCTGGACATAGTCTGAGGGTCCTGGCATTGGGGGCCACGGGGGAGATCTAGGACGCTGTTGAGAAGGGAGCAGGGCTCAGTGGAGAGGAGCACCCAGATCTGTGTCACCACTGAGTCACAGTTGTGCATTGGAAAGGCCTCTCTGCCTGCTACAAGCAGTGACAGCAAGAATGGGGACACAGGAGCAGGAGGAGGCAGGGAGCAGAGCTCAGGACACTGCTGAGAGACTGCAAACCACGGCGCTGGCACCCTACATTTGCCACTGGTGTCCCCTCAGCCCTGCACAGGGCCCCCTGGAACCTGGGACACCCTGGAAAGTAAGGGCAGTGCTGGGGCCTGGCTGGTGGAAGTGGGAAGGGACTCAAAATGGACAATGACAACTTAAGCCAAGGGTGGTCATGAGGGCTGTGGAGAGACTGGGGAAGGGTGACAGGAGGTTGGGTGACAGAGGGGTCAGCATGGCTGTCATCTGAAAAGAAAGGGCCTGTCTAAAGGCAGGAGGAGCTTCCTGGACAAGGGAACCACTGCGGGAGGACAGCAGTGGACACCTGAAGCAGTAGGCATCCTGGTGTGTCCAGGAGGTGGCCCATGTGACAGTGACAGCCCAGATGCTGTGATTGTGGGGGAGCTGGGGATCCCTGAGGGGTCCTGAGAATCACTTCCCAGACCCAGCTTCAGGGATGGGAATGAGCCAGGGGTCCCCAGTGGGAATCCAATCTCTTACACCTGTGACTTGGAAGTCCCAGGGCCTCTTGAGCCCTCCTGCCCTGGTACGCAGACCTGAGCCACAGCGGCCTCTCTTCCAGGGGACCCCTGCTTTCTCCCTATCCACTCTAACAGGGTCACTGCCACTCTAAGAGGCCCTCATCCCACCACAGAGGCTGAGCAGAGGGACATGATGGCTCAGTGGCTTCATGGGTTGCTCTGGCTGCTGACTGGGGCCCTGAGGGCAGGGGCAGCCTCCTCAGCAAGAGACGAGTGGGGAACAGGGTACTGGATGTTGGGTCCGCTGGGGAGCAAGGTTTGTTGATAGATCAGATCTGGGAGGTGATGGAAAGAAACAAGAAGAGTGTGGGCTCAAAATGTTCGGCCTGAGCCCACAGCCATCATTTTTTACCAGAAGAGCAGCAAAAGGTGCTCAGTGGGGCGAGAGCTGGAGTCTGCCTGGAGAGAAGCCAGCGGCGTCCAAGAGGAAGCACTGTCCAGAGAATCTGCACTGAAGGCGGAAACTCCGAGGAGGCCCAGGACGTGGGTGAGGCTCAGAACCTCGAGGCCCAACAGGATCACCCTGGGAGAAGCATGTAGATAGATAGAGGAGTTCCCCAGACTTGGCCCGCCAGCCCAGCCGTGACCCCAGTGTTGAGAGGTCCAGAAGAACCTGCGAATGGGGAAGGAACGAGGGGGGGTAGCGCGTAGGGTGGGGTAGGAAGAAGGAGAAGGCCGCTCAGCGGTGCTGGATGCTGCTAAGTCATCCAGGACAGTGAGGCCGGAGAATGCCCGCCCTTTGGACTTAATGGTGGTGCGATGGATGATGGGTGACCCTGCCGGGGAGGAGGGGCTGCAGGCCTTACTCAGGAAGAGGAGGGCCAGCATTTAGAAGGCTTTGGGAAGAGCTTTGTTAGTGGGGATCGCGGAGGAAAAGGAGGCCGTTGGAGGGGATGAGGGTGCCTCAGAAGGTAAGAAATTTAAGGAGCCAGGGATGGCGGCCACATCTGTAATCTCAGGACTTTGGGGAGGCTGAGGCAGGAAGATCAAAATTGGAGCCCAGCTCAAGAAAGTTAGCAATTTAGCAAAACCCTGTCTCAACATAAAAAAGGGAAAAGGGGTTGGGGACATAGCTCAGTGCGAAGTCCATGTGTTCTGTCTCCAGGAGCACCAAAAACAACAAAACAAACAAACCCAGTCAGTAACAGAGGCCCTGGCCTGCAGGCCAGCTGGGAGCGCACTGTGGCCTCGGCAGCCCGGCATCACGCCTACTGCAGCCAAGAGTCGGTATCAGCACACGCTGGTGAGCAGAAACACAAGGCTCTGCTCGCTGAGCTCTCGGACCCACTCGAAGTCCAGAGTCCTCCAAAGGTTCATTTCAAGACCAAACCAGCGTAGCACAGTTTCTTCTTCTTCTTTACGCTACATAATACGGAGCACTTTTCCACATGCAAGAAGGCAAAGCACGACACACTTAAAAGGCGACACACAAGCCTACAGCCACACAGGCAGATGAACCACTTCTCTTAACTGATAAAACAGACAAGAATCAATCAGGATCGATCAGGACAGGGGCTATTTTAAAAAGTAAGCAATTTTTATTTTATTT